TTATTTCTTTCTATTCCTTTCATTCCAAATCCATAACAACTGTTTGTCACATGAGAAAATGCCAGCCATCCATCCATCCGACCAACCCACCCAACCATCTATAGGAATATTGAAAATTTTGAAATATATCTAAAATAGAATATATAATTTTTTTTGTTTATTTTCAACCGCAGTAGGAATTTTTTGCTACACTCATAGCTACACAAAAATATATATTTTTGCGGATTTACTCTGAGCATAGAAGAAGAAAATTAAAAAACAACAAGAAAATTAAAAAAGTCATCGTAAAAATATTTATCAATGAAAAAAAAAAACATCTACTAGACATGTGAATTGGCTTAGCAGCGAACGAATCTCATCGAGGAAACGATGACAAATAAACAACAAAACCGTGCAAAAAATATAGACGAAAGAAAAAAAAATAACAACAAACAATTAGTAAAATATTTATGTGGAAAACAAGGTCACAGACAGTCTATAAGGAAAGGCGAATATAATGGGAAAAACGAAAAAAAAAACAACAATATAGTACATTTCTGCCATGGCATTAATCATGGCCGAAACAGCAAGTTAAACACGTGCTGAAATGAGGAGGTGGTGGCGAAAATTAAAAAAAATTTTTTTTTAAATATCAAATAAAAATAATTTTAAAAATGTCAGTGTTTATTAATATCTTTAAAAATAATTGTTTAAAATCTACTTTTATTCTCCCCCTAAAATAATGTTTTAATATCATTGAGAAATTATTTAAAAAATCCACGCTAATGGATTCCACTTTTATCCATCCATTAGAAACTATTTTTCTTAACTCTACTCCTTTTTGATGTCCTTACAAATCCAAGCTAACGTCCTTAAAATATTTGTCTAATTTTTTTTTGTAATGGATGTCCTTAAAAAATGTTTTTTAATAAAACCAAGGATATCCATCCTTAAACCAGCAAGTAATGTAGTAAAGTCGGATTGGGCCGACTATATGATACCCTTCACACCACTTTGGTATATTTTACATATATATCCTAATAGACGTCGCCTATCGAAAGCATATTGACATGAAATTGAACGAACTTAAATATGTGATTTTTATCTATATGTGAACCGACTAACCTCAATCCGTATATATATTCTGAACTCTATGAGTCTGAACAGATTAAGAGTCGTTTGCGTACAATAGGAAAAATTTATGCAACTCGATTTATAGCACACTTGATACACGCTATTCGGTAATCCGCACTGTTCAACATTTAATCTCAATCAGGCACCCGTTCGAAATATATGGAAGCTATGTCTGCATCTGTAGCAATTTCAACAGAACGTAATAACGTCATTCAAGTCTCAATTTCATACGTTGTGCAAACTTTCGTGCCAATCGAACAAACATTAGGAGTTTGGTGCGCCATTTACCCAAAATCGGACGAAATTATATATGGGAGCTATATGTAAATCTTAACCAATCTTCACGAAACTTAGCACACATCATTCTATACTCTATATAGGGTCTTGGGTGAACCATTTACATGAAAGCGGAAGAAAATATCTATGGCAGCTATATTTAAATCAGAACCGATTTTTACAAAACTTTGCACACATTAGTCTAGGCCGAATTTCGTCCAAATCGGAAGATTTTTAGGGACTTTGGTGCACCATTTACCTTAAATCGGACGAAAATGTATATATGGGAGCTATATCGAAATCTGAACCGATTTTTACGAAACTTAGCACACATCAGTCTAGGCTGAATTTAGTACGCTGTGTCAAATTTCGTGCACATTGGAAGATTTTTAGGGACTTTGGTGCACCATATACCTTAAATCGGACGAGTATATATATGGGAGCTATATCGAAATCTGAACCGATTTTCACGAAACTAAGCACACATCAGTCTAGGCTGCATTTAAGTACGCTGTGTTAAATTTCGTGCAAATTGGAAGATTTTTAGGGACTTTGGTGCACCATATACCTTAAATCGGACGAGTATATATATGGGAGCTATATCGAAATCTGAACCGATTTTCACGAAACTAAGCACACATCAGTCTAGGCTGAATTGAGTACGCTGTACCAAATTTCGTGCAAATCGAAAGATTTTTAGGGACTTTGGTGCACCATTTACCTTACATCGGAGGAAAATATATATAGCAGCTATATCTAAATCAGAACCGATTTTCACGAAATTTAGCACACATCAATCTAGGCTGAATTTAGTACGCTGTGTCAAATTTCGTGCAAATCGGAAGATTTTTAGGGACTTTGGCGCACTATTTACCTTAAATCGGACGAAAATATATATGGCAGCTATATCTAAATCTAAACCAATTTTTCCCAATTTCAATAGGGTTCGTCCTTGGTCCGAATAAGTGATCTGTGTCAAATTTCATGCAATTCGGATTACCTGTACTTTGTTTACAATTTAATATGGACAGACAGACAGACGGACGGACATGCATAAATCGACTTAGAAAGTGATTCTATGCATATTCTCAAAAGGAACCATGTGTCTATCTCGTTTCCTTTTGCCTGTTACAAACTTATGTACAAAGACATAATACCCTGTACAACAGTGTTGTGAAGGGTATAAAAATATTTTTTTTTATAAATCCACGTTTATTTATGTCCTTAAAAAATATTTTTTTAAAAAAATTCACGCTTATCTATGCCTTTAAAATATGTTTTTTTATAAATTCACGCTCATTGATGTCATTAAGTATAATTTTTTTACAAATCCACTTTTTTGATGTCCTTAATTTTAAATTATAAATTCACGCTTATGGATGTCCTTAACATTTTCTTTTATAAATCTTTTTTTTTTAGGAAATCCATAAAAGCGTGGATTTCCTCAAAAAAAAAAAAAAAAATATTTGATGGATTTTAAAATAAATCCACGCATATGTCAATGCCTTAAAAAATAATTTTTAAAAAATGCACGTCAGGTCAATTCCTTTAAAAAGGGTATAAAAATATGTTTTTTATAAATCCACGTTTATTCATGTCCTTAAAAAATATATATTTTTTTTAAAAAATTCACGCTTATCTATGCCCTTAAAATACGTTTTTTTAAAATTCACGCTCATTGATGTCATTAAGTATAATTTTTTTAAGTCCTTAATTTTTTTTATAAATCCACGCTTATGGATGTCCTTAACATTTTCTTTTATAAATCTTTTTTTTTTTTTTGGAGGAAATCCATAAAAGCGTGGATTTCCTCAAAAAAAAAATATTTGATGGATTTTAAAATAAATCCACGCATATGACAATCCCTTAAAAAATTATTTTTAAAAAATGCACGTCAGGTCAATTCCTTTAAAAAAAAATAATTTTAAAATCCAAGCCTTTAGCAATCCCCGAAAAAAATATTTTATAAAATTCACGCCTAGGTTAGGCGTGGATCTCATGTCCAACATGAGATGAACATACACATAAGCCAAATGAGGCCTGTTGTGTGCTCTAGAAATGCCGAAAAAGTTGGAATTAGTGAAAGTTTAGATTAAAAAAGCAATTAAAAATAATAAACTTACCATTAACAGCCAAAAATTAAAAAAATAAAAACCAAAAAACTTTGTTTTAAATTATTATTTTTTATAATTAACATATATATTTTTGAGCGAAAAAAAAAAATAATAAAATGGAACCAAAAGTCAAAAATAAATCTAAACAATAATTTTACAAATTTAAAATGATAAAATACTAAATTGATTTTTGAAAACAAAAATTATTAAATTTAAAGCAGCACAAAAAAATAATTTCAAAATATTGACGAATTTCTTAATCATAAAAATAGAAACTATAATTAATATATAATTAATTAAGCATATACATATTATAAATTAACACAAAATGTATACAATTAAATTTATATATGTATGTTCTCTTGATGTTGTATTTATATAATTTAAATATATAAATATTGGCAATTGAATATATATAATACGAAGATAACGTAAAAGAAAATAAGAGAAAGAAAATTTTAATATTTAGAAAAAATATTTCTAATGAAAAAATAGTATATAGAAGGGGCCATAGCCAAAAAAATCAATCCTCAGCTCTTGAGGGAATGTTTTATATAGGAAAAAATCAGACCTCAGTTCGTGAACAATTTTTTTTTTTATACAAAAACTAATCTCAAAATGAAAATCAGACCTCAGTGTCTACGGATTTCTTTCTATAGAAAAAAATCAGACCTCAGTGTCTGAGGAATTTTTTTCTATAGAAAAAAATCAAGACCTCAGTGTCTGAGGAATTTTTTTCTGTAGAAAAAAATCAGACCTCAGTGTCTGAGGAATTTTTTTCTATAGAAAAAAATCAGACCTCAGTGTCTGAGGAATTTTTTTCTATAGAAAAAAATCAGACCTCAGTGTCTGAGGAATTTTTTTCTATAGAAAAAAACCAGACCTCAGAGTCTGAGGAATTTTTTTCTATAGAAAAAAATCAGACCTCATTGTCTGAGGAATTTTTTTCTATAGAAAAAAATCAGACCTCAGTGTCTGAGGAATTTTTTTCTATATAAAAAATCGATAGTCAATGTCTTGGGAATTTTTTTTCTATAGAAATAATCAGACTTCTGGGTGTGAGGAATTTTTTTCTATAGAAAAAAATTTCTCAGGCACTGAGGTCTGATTTTCCTATACAGAAAAAAATCCTCAAACACTGAGGTCTGATTTTTTTCGATAGAAAAAAATTCCTCAGACATTGAGGATCGATTTTTTATAGAAAAAAATTCTACAGACACAGAGGTCTGATTTTTTTTCTATAAATCCTCAGGAACTGAAAGATTCTTGGTCCGATTTCATAGATTTTTTTCCAATCCAATTTTTTTTTCAATACCCCCCTCTTTAAAATTGTTTTGAGTTTCTTATAGTTTATGAGCAATTATTATATTTTATTTACTAAGTTTTTTTTTAATCAATAAAAATTAACAACAAATTTTAATAGTATTTATTTTTCATAATTTCACCTCCTACTCCTCCGCTCGTACCCCAGCATTCTACAAAAAACATTCCCCCTCTCTATTTATTACTTTTCTTGCGTCTGGCATCCGTTATAGCACCCCACAGTTCAATGATGAAATCATCGGTAAATCCGAATGATTCCAAATCGGAATTATCAATGGCCTCAGCAAAATCCATAGAATTAGTTTTGTCGGCACCCAAATCCCAAATCTGCGTTGCCAACTCCGCATCATTAATACCCATAAAGGATTCGAGCAGATTATTTATGGCCTCAATACCCGCTTGGGTTGAATCATCGAATTTCTCTTCAATCTCCACATTGCCGTTGGCCTTGAAACGTAACGTTTCCTTACCGCTGCCATAGCCACCACGACCGGAAGGCATGCGGGATTGTGATCGAGGGCCAATACCTTGGAAACCACTACGCATTGGTTCGACCAAACGCAAGGTGAACGAGGAGCCGGTAGGGATTTCTTTCAGCAGACGGGCCACTTCGTAATGTCTCTTGCCCACCATACTCTCCCCGTTCAATTTCTCGATGTGATCTCCCACTAAAATGTGTTCGATGCGATCAATAATGGATCCCTCTTTGATCCGTTTGATAAATGCAAAACCGGCACCATTATCGGTAATGGTCAGGCCCAAGGCATCTTCCGATTTGACAATTTCAATTTCTTTCGGTTGACCCTTTCGATGGGCAAAAATGAAATCATCCAAACCAATTTGACCACCCAGCAGTTTGGTCATATCCACCTTGTGGGAGTTGAGGGTGCAGAACAAGATCTCCTCAGCTGGTATATCATAACATTCGGCAATTTTCTTATACAATTCTCGTACACTGGCAAATCCGGTAATTAACCCGGTAGGGCTGCCGTGGGCCAGTTGGCAATGGAATACTAATTGGGGTTTTTGAACATTTGATTCACTTATCGATGGTGTCCTTTGAGTGTAGTTGCCATTCTGTTGTTGTTGCTGCTGGCTGGGGGGTACTTTACCATTTGACATTAGACCATTGTTGTTGTCGTGAAATACCGAATCGGCTGGTATTGTGGGCTTGGGAACTTTCTTGGCAAATAGTGGCATTTTAGACTTTGTTTTTGATTTTTAATGCGGTCTCAGTTAAGTTCTCCCGGAGGTTCTTTCGGATCTCAAAATTTCGTTATCGAGTTTCCAATCTATTTAAAGATGAAGAAAATTGCTTGGATTTAGTTTGAGGTTTTTTTATTTTGGTTCTTTTTTTGTATTTTTGTAGGGAGTTGTGATTTGTTGTTACCATCACCATGTTGTTGTTGTTAGTTTTTTTTTTTCTTATGGAATTTGAGTAGGATGATGCATTTTGGTTACATAAATGAAGTGCATTTTTTGTTAGTTATGAATTATTCAGACATACATAGAGGGGTTACACTTAAATTTAATTTTTAATTTTATTACAAATGAAGGCAAAGATTCAAAAATTAGTCCGACACTGAGGCCAGATTTTTTCTATAGAGGCAATTTTTTTCCATAGAAAAAATACCTCAGACACTGAAGTCAGACTTATCTATAGACACTGAGGTCTGATTTTTTTCTATAGAAAAAAATTCCTTAGACACTGAGGTCTGATTTTTTTCTATAGAAAAAATTCCTCAGACACTGAGGTCTGATTTTTTTCTATAGAAAAAAAAATTCCTTAGACACTGTGGTCTGATTTTTTTCTACAGAAAAAAATCCTCAGACTCTGAGGTCGTTTTTTTTCTATAGAAAAAAATTCGTCAGACATTGAGGTCTGACTTTTTTCTATAAAAAAAAAATCCTCGGACATTGAGGTCTGACTTTTTTCTATAGAAAAAAATTCCTCAGATTTTCTGAGGTCGTTTTTTTTCTATAAAAAAAAATTCGTCAGACACTGAGGTCTGATTTTTTTCTATAGGAAAAAACTCCTCAGACACTGAGGTCTGATTTTTTTCTATAGAAAAAAATTCCTCAAATTTTTTCTATAGAAAAAATACCTCAGACTCCGAGTTCGTATTTTTTCTATAGAAAAAAGTACCTCAGGCACTGAGGTCAGATTTTTTGTTTCTATAGAAAAAGATACCTCAGGCACTGAGGTCAGGATTTTTTCTAGAAAAAAAATCCTCAGATTTTTTCTATAGAAAAAATACCTCAGACTCAGAGTTCGTATTTTTTCTATAGAAAAAAGTACCTCAGGCACTGAGGTCAGATTTTTTGTTTCTATAGAAAAAGATACCTCAGGCACTGAGGTCTGATTTTTTTCTATAGAAAAAAATTCCTTAGACACTGAGGTCTGATTTTTTTCTATAGAAAAAAATTCCTCAGACACTGAGGTCTGATTTTTTCTAGAAAAAAATTCCTTGGACACTGAGGTCTGATTTTTTTCTATAGAAAAAAATTCCTCAGACACTGAGGTCTGATTTTTTTCTACAGAAAAAAATTCCTCAGACTCTGAGGTCGTTTTTTTTTCTATAAAAAAAAAATTCGTCAGACATTGAGGTCTGACTTTTTTCTATAAAAAAAATTCCTCAGACATTGAGGTCTGAGTTTTTTCTATAGAAAAAAATTCCTCAGACATTGAGGTCCGACTTTTTTCTATAGAAAAAAATTCCTCAGACATTGAGGTCTGACTTTTTTTCTATAGAAAAAAATTCCTCAGATTTTTTCTATAGAAAAAATACCTCAGACTCAGAGTTCGTATTTTTTCTATAGAAAAAAGTACCTCAGGCACTGAGGTCAGATTTTTTGTTTCTATAGAAAAAGATACCTCAGGCACTGAGGTCAGGATTTTTTCTATTGAAAAAAAAATATCTCAGACACTGAGGTCAGGATTTTTTCTATAGAAAAAAAAGTAACTCAGACACTGAGGCCAGGGGGTTTTCTATAGAAAAAAATACCTCAGTGCCTGAGGTCAGATTTTTTCTATAAAAAGTACATCAGACTGTTAAAAAAATGCTTCAGACCTTGAGATGTGATTTCCTCAGCTCCCATATAAGATGGCACTGAGTTGTTTTTTTTATAGAAAAAAAAAAATACCTCAGGGACTGAGGCCAGATTTTTTCTATAGAACAAATACTGACGTCAAGTTTTTTCCATAAAAAATTATTCCGACACAAGAAAGGAGTAAAATTTTTCCTAAATCTTAGACGACACTGAGGTCAGATTTTTTCTATAAAGAACATCTTCAGACACTGAGATCTATTTTTTTCTAAAGAAAAAAATACCTCAGATAAGAAAGCCAAATTTTCCTTATAGAAAAAATACCTCAGAGTGTGATGACAGATTTTTTTCCGTAGAAAAAATGACTCAGACACTAAGGCCAGATATTTTCTGAAGAGGAAAAACTCGATCAAATCTGTTCTACAGATGAAAATAATTGGGTCATTGGAGGGTAGATTTTTTGTATAGGAAAAATTCGTTTATCACTGAGAAGAGATTTGTTTGTATAGAAAAAAAATGCTTGGGGCACAGAGCAAAAATCTGATAAAAAATCTACGCCTTGATAGGCTTTGGAAGAATATTCTTTAAAAAATCCACGCCTTGATAGGTTTTGGAAAAAAATAATTTTTAAAAAATCCACACCTTGATAGGGTTTGGAAAAAAATAATTTTTAAAAAATCCACGCCTTGATAGGCTTTGGAAAAAAATAATATTTCAAAAAATCCACGCCTTGATAGGCTTTAGAAAAAAATATTCTTCAAAAAAATCCACGCCTGGTTTTGCCTTGAAAATTATTTTTTATAGAAAAAATACCTCAGACACTAAGATCATATTTTTTTTCTATAGAAAAATATGCCTCAGACATAGAGGTCAGATTTCTTTCTTTAAATATTAGGTTGGGGAAAAAGAAATACATTAGGCCAGTCGACGAAAATGTCGATAAAATCGGGGAAATGATCGATGTTGACCGTAATAACGCCCAGGAGCTAAAAATCGACCATAAAGCTGTTTTAAACCATTTACACAAAGCTGGATTCAAACAGAAGCTCGATGTTTGGGCGCCACACCAATTAACAGAAATAATGGAATTACCATCTGCGAAGCCTTGGCCAAACGGAATGAGAAATGGGTCTTTCTTAAACGGATGGTGACTGGAGATGAGAAATGGATCACAACCCTGTGGGAAAACGATCGTGGTACAAAAAGCGGCGAAGCACCTCAAACGGTGGCCAAACCAGGACTAACGGCCATGAAGGTCCTGCTGTGCATTTTTTGGGACTGGAAGGATATTATTTATTAGGAGTTGCTTTAATATGGCCAAAAGCTAAATTCTGATCTCTACTGTCAACAACTGGACCATTTGAAAATAACAATAGACCAGAAACTGCCAGAATTGGCCAACAGGAGAGGTGTCGTGTTGCACCAGGAAAACGCTAGGCCACACACATCTACAGTGACTCGTCAGAAACTTCGAGAGTTTGATTGGGAAGTTTTAACGCTTCCGCCATACAGTCCGGACTTGGCACCAAGCGATTATTCTCTTTTTCTTGCATTGCAAAATTTCTTTAATGATAAAAAATTTGATATCTAGGGAGGATTGTGAAAATCGACCATTAGAGTTTTTTGCAAATAGAGAGCTGGACATCTGTGAGAGAGACATTATAAAGTTACCTATGAAATGGCGACAATTCATACAACAGAACGGTGCATATTTGGCCCAAATCGTATGATAAATAAAGTCCAATAGTTCATATAAACATAATGAATTTCTTTTTCCCCAACCTAATGTTTTCGAAAAATATTTTTCAAGGCTTTATTATGTCCTGAAATTTTTTTCAATTTCACTCCTTGCTAGGCCTTGGAAAAATATTCTTTAAAAACTCCACACCTTGTTAGGCCTTCAAAAATTTTTCTTTAAAAAAATAAGCTTCGAAAAAAAAATATATTTTTTTTTTTGAAAAATATACACAGTACTTAAAAAAAACCCCTTCTATAAAAGAACCTGAATAATATTTTAAATAAATTTTAAACCTGTTTTGAACCTTGAAAAAAATTTTGTTGTTCACTTTTAAATTAGTTGGTATTGGATCCATAAATTCAATCATTTGTTTTTTTATTATACCCTACACAACTATGTTGTCAGGCGAAATATTGGTCCTAGACCCACCTTTAAGTATACCGATCGTCATATCTCGACTAGCTGTATCGATCTAGACATGTGTGTCCGTTCGTCCGACCGTCCGTCCATTATAAATTGTAAACACGATACAGGCCACAGTTATGGACCAATCTTTACAAAATTTTGCATGTAGGATGGGTTCTGGCCAATGAAGACCCCTATTGTTTTTGGTAAAGATCGGTTAATATTTAGGGGATGAAATGGACCAAATACTTAATTTTTGTCGGTTTTTCTGATCGCTCCAGAGGCCGCCATTATGGCCCAAACATCGCGAATTTTTGGATTTTATAAAGAAATTTCTTAAGACCAATAGGCGTGGATTTTATAAAGAAATTTCTTAAGACCAATAGGCGTGGACTTTATAAAGAAATTTCTTAAGACCAATAGGCGTGGATTTTATAAAGAAATTTCTTAAGACCAATAGGCGTGGATTTTATAAAGAAATTTCTTAAGACCAATAGGCGTGGATTTTATAAAGAAATTTCTTAAGACCAATAGGCGTGGGCCAAAGAATAAGCATGCCTGTTTTGATAAAGATCGGCCAATATTTTACTCCTGAAGGACATAGACCCGAGAAGTTGATAGTATATCCTAGAGGAGTGGTTGACCTGTATGTACTCTGATGTGGGACTTATACATAATAAGGTAAATGTGACTATGTGCATAGTATTACTATTACTCCATTAGAGGACGGAAATGTCGCGCTGATCGCTTTGAAATTGTAAAGGAAGTTCCGATTATGGTCAAGGACAACGCCTATAGTTTTCGGTGAAGTTGAGATTTCATTCAGGGGGTGCAATATGAACGGAAAACTTTAATTTTGTCAGATTTTCTAGTCGCTCTCGAGGCAATTATTATATGCAGAACATCTCATATATTTTACAAGGTGAAGGGGATGTGATCAAATACTTAGAGCGGCTGTTTAGATGATGATCGGTCAATATTCCGAGGGTCACATCAATCAAAACCAAAA